AACATAGTAAACCAACAGAAGACAATTTCATACCATACACAGGCTCACCGGCAGTTCTCCCTCCCCCGCCCCTCTTCGTGGGTACTAGGACGGCTTCAAACACCCACGATGTGGACGTTCTACTCTTTGAGGCATGGCTTTCTATCTTGCAGGTTGGCGGGGGCGCGTGGGGCGTGACCCACGCGCAGCAGAGTGGGAAGGCGTGATCAGCTTGGAGCAGAACGCGAGGGCGTGATCAGCTCGCAGCAGAGCGCGAGGGCGTGATCAGCTCGCAGCAGAGCGCGAGGGGCGTGATCAGCTCGCAGCAGAGCGCGAGGGCGTGATCAGCTCGCAGCAGAGCGCGAGGGCGTGATCAGCTCGCAGCAGAGCGCGAGGGCGTGATCAGCTCGCAGCAGAGCGCGAGGGTGTGATCAGCTCGCAGCAGAGCGCGAGGGCGTGATCAGCTCGCAGCAGAGCGCGAGGGCGTGATCAGCTCGCAGAGCGCGAGGGCGTGATCAGCTCGCAGCAGAGCGCGAGGGTGTGATCAGCTCGCAGCAGAGCGCGAGGGCGTGATCAGCTCGCAGCAGAGCGCGAGGGCGTGATCAGCTCGCAGCAGAGCGCGAGGGTGTGATCAGCTCGCAGCAGAGCGCGAGGGCGTGATCAGCTCGCAGCAGAGCGCGAGGGCGTGATCAGCTCGCAGCAGAGCGCGAGGGTGTGATCAGCTCGCAGCAGAGCGCGAGGGCGTGATCAGCTCGCAGAGCGCGAGGGCGTGATCAGCTCGCAGCAGAGCGCGAGGCGCGAGGCGCGAGGGTGTAGAGGCTGGGAGAGCGACGCGACAATAAGACGTCAGAGGGTGGGGTCAACGAGGTCGGGCTGGACAAAGGTGGCGGTGACGGACGGATCCGGGTAAACGTACTTGCGGTAGTGGAGGGTGACGGCGGCGCGGGCATCGGTCTGCCCGCCACCGGAGAAGAAGACGTTCATCTTGTTGGAGGCGCCAAAGCGGCCCTGGATGACGCCGATGCCGCCGTTGGCCGCCGAGACTACCTTGAGCCCGGTGTACACGCCCGGGTCCGTGCCCTTGGGAAGAGGCCCTTGCAGATGGCCTCGCGCTCGTTCTTGAGCCGGGTGATGTGCCCGACCTTGGCCTTGACACGGAAGATCTTGAGTGCCCACGGTGTGTCGCTGTCAAACGGAGCCACCAGCGAGCCCGAGAAGGCCAGCCGGCACACGTTTCCGTCGACGTCGCTGTCGAGCCGCGAACCGATTATCATGGCGTCAGGCGCGCAGAGGACGGGTGACTCGAGCTCAAGCACCGCGTACGTCGTCGAGCCTGTCGGGTATGCCTCGGGACCCTCGAGCTCGCTCACGTCTAGGTACTCGTCGTCGTAGGAGAAGACGTGCGCGGGATGCGGCGCCGAATCGGCGGCCGACGCAGCATCCGATGAGCTGGCGGCCGACGATGAGCTGGCGGTCGAAGCGAGGCCGTGCGGGTCCTCGCCCGGGCCGACGGAGCGGAAGAACTGGAGCGTGGCCATGACAGTCTCGTGGCCGACGGTGAGGTGGAACTTAGCGCGCGACTTGATCTCGCCGCGAAAGTAGGGGATGCGCGAGACGCGGACGACGGCGGCCGAGACGGCGCGGATGGTGCCTGGGGCGCAGGCGAGGCCGCGCTCGAGGAGCTTGGCGTTGAGCTGGGCCACGCAGATGCCGAGGCGGTCGCCCTGGACGGCTCGCTCGACCGGTGCCTTGAACATCTGCATCGACTTGACCTTCTTGGACAGGCCGAGCGCCGGGAACTCGATGGTCTGCCCCACGGCAACCGAGCCGCGCTGGATGGTCCCGGTCACAACAGTGCCCTGGCCCTTGACCTGGAAGCAGTGGTCGATGGCAAAGAGGAACGCGTCCTCGGCTTCGTTGCGGGTCGGGAGGCGGACGGCGGCAGTGAGGGCGTCGACGAGGTCGCTGAGGCCATCACCACTCGATGCCGAGACCGGGAGGATGTCTGAATTTGCAAAGGCTGTCGGCTTGAGCGTCGCCGCCACCCGCTTGGTCATCTTGGCCACCTTGCTCGCCCGCTTCTCTTCGGGAAAGAGATCGATCTTGTTGAGGGCGACCATGAGTGTGTCTGCTGTCAGCTCGCCGATGACCAGACACTCTGCGGTCTGCGTCTGGAAGCCTGCCTTGGCGTCGACCACCAGGACCATGATGTCGATGATGGAGGCGCCGCCGATGATGGTCTTGATCAGCGAGGCGTGTCCAGGGCAGTCAACGAGGGTAAACTGAATCTCATCGTACTTGTCGCCGACCGTCAACAAGCCCGACTCGTCCTCTTTTCCGGGATGATCACCGGTATCATTGCCGGATGTAGTACCGGAACAGATGTCAGGAGTACCATCATCATGCCCATCGAGTCGGAGGCCAGCGAGGGCTGGCGGGAGAGGTACACGAAGGGCAGAGAAGCCGAGGTCGAGGGTGATGCCTCTGACTTGGGATTGAGGGTGTTTGTCAAAGGCAGCCGTTGAAGCGAGTGTGGAGAGTGCCTTGGCTAGTGACGTCTTGCCCGAGTCGACGTGTCCGAGAAGGCCCACGTTGACGTTGAGCACACGACTCGCCGTCTTCGATGACGCCGCCATGGGTCGCAGCGAGTTGAGTGATGGTGTCATAGCAGGCTGAGGTGATGCTGGCGAGAGAACGATTAATTGAACGATTGATTGAACGATTATGTGGACGATTATGTGGACGATTAATTGAGCGATTGATTGAACGATTATGTGGACGATTAATTGAACGATTGATTGAACGATTATGTGGACGATTAATTGAACGATTGATTGAACGATTATGTGGACGTTTATTTGGACGATTGATTGAACGATTATGTGGACGTTTAATTGAACGATTGATTGAACGATTATGTGGACGTTTATTTGGACGATTGATTGAACGATTATGTGGACGTTTAATTGAACGATTGATTGAACGATTATGTGGACGTTTAATTGAACGATTGATTGAACGATTATGTGGACGTTTATTTGGACGATTGATTGAACGATTATGTGGACGTTTATTTGGACGATTGATTGAACGATTATGTGGACGATTAATTGAACGATTGATTGAACGATTATCGGGTTAGATCAACGACAACGCACAGCGGTACACACATGACTTGCCTCTCATCGGCGGGACTGGTCCTGTTTACGACGATGGAGACGATGAGGTGGCAGCGGTGGGGCCGACAGAGGCCGAGGTGTCGACGAGGTATTTGACGACGTTGGCCTGCTCGAGCACGTCTTGGACCTTTGCGCGCGACTTGGGGTTGAGCATAGCGTACATGGCGCGGAGATCGTGGAGCGAGGCGGCCTGGTGCTCGATGGGCGGCTGGTGGGCGACGGCGCCTCCGGGAAGCTTGACTTCGAACGAATCTGCGCCCTGGGCGAGGGCGCGGGCGTTGGCATCGAGGTAGGGCATGTAGAAGCGGCCGATGTTCTTGAGGAGCGAGAGGACAACCGGCGAGTAGGCCTCCGAGGTCTCGAGCCACTGGCCCTCGATGCCCGACGGCTCGTCGAGGGCAAAGGTCCACGCGTAGAGTCGCGGCGTGTTCTCGCGGAGCCACTTGGACGAGTCGTAGTCGAGGACAAGCTGTGAGAGCTGCCCAAAGACGGCAAAGTCAGCTAGCGAGGGGCGCGAGCCAAAGAGGAACCGCTGCCCGTCCTCAATGTGCTGCTCGAGAGCCAGGAGGTCACGCTGGAGGCACGAGACAATGCCTGTCCCATCACCCACGCCCATCAGTGCCACTCGCAGCCTCTGGCGGGTGAGGAACTTGGTGGCTACCGAGCGGACCTCCTCGCGCGACGCCGGTGTGATCATGTCTGCCACCACGTGTCGGGCGCTCCACTGCGAGAAGAGATGTGCGTGAGTATCTGGGGAGAAGAGAGGGCAAAGGGCAAAGGGCAAGGGGCAAGGGAGCGGGAAAGGGAAAGGATGGGGGAAGAGAGAAGGATGAGGGAAGGAGGGCGTACCATGACGGCGTCGTCGTCCTGCAGCAGCCATCGCCAGGCAAATGCGCCCTTCATGTGCCACTCATCCGTGTAGTCCTCGAGGAGATGGACGAGAAAGGCCAGAGCAGGATCTCTTGGAATGGAGCTCCTTGCCAGGGTAGCCATTCTCCTCTCCAGATCCAGAGCAATAGAAGTCGATCCTTGAATGAGACCACCATCATCGCCTACTTTGAGCAGAGGCATCCGCTGCGACTCGACAGCACGAACTGCCGTCGTATCGCCACCTTCTTCCAGCCACTGCCACAATCGTTGCCAAACAAAGGGAACACGTCGATAGCGAAGCAATGCACGAGTCTTGAGCGAGTACGGCGAGCCATTCGATCCATAGAGTGTGACACGCGCCACGGCGCCAGCAGCACGGAAGGCCATGACGGTGGAAGGGGGGGTGTGTGTGGGGGGTAGGGGGGGGGGGGGGGAGGGAAGGGGGAAGGAAGGAGACGACGACGAGGAGGAGGAGAAAACCTAGCTCGTT